TGCTCCAGCCCCGCCGGCCTCCTTCGCGGCCCTGAACGCACCAGGCAGGCTCCTGACACACTTCTGTTCCTTGTGCCTGAAACACGTGCTCCAGACACCCACCCAGCGTGCTCCCTCTCGTCCTGACCACCTCCCCAAAACGGTGCCCGGTTCCATCAGCCTCCAGTCCCTTCTTCCACTCTACTGTCTGTCTCCTCTACTAGACTAAATATTAGCTTCATGAGAGCAGTATCCTCAGCACTGAGAACAGGACACAGTAGGTGCTCAATTAAATCATTGTTTCCTGAATTAATCGGATTGATTTTCAGTCTAATTATTTGGTCCGTTTTCTTCTTTACAGATGGCAATATTTTCCACATTTTTTGCAGTACACGTGTATTCGTTTTAGCCACCAAAAGCAATAAATGACACAGTTTGGTCTCTGTCACCTATTCTTTGTTTCTCACAACCCTTTCAAACATGTAAAAAACATGCTTGGCTCACAGGCCTTACGAGAACAGGGTTTAAGGGTGGGCCAACCAGCCCACTGTGGGTTTTTGTAAAATGAGGTTTTATTTGGGATGCAGTCCGGTGAGTTTATGTACCGTCTGGGGCTGTGTTCATGCTCTGGTGGAAGTGGGTGGTTGTGACAGAGACTATCAGAGCTTGGAATATTTACTATACAGAAAACATCTGCCCAACCCCTGCTCCAAAGTACTGAAGCGATTTTTGAGATTAGTGTTCGTCCTATTTTGCAGATGAGGGAACTGAGGACCAGAGAGGTTAGGGCTTGCCCAAGGCCACACAGTAAGTGGCAGAACCGGAACCCAGGCCCAGGTCTTTGACTTCTAAGCTGGGGATGTTTGGCCTGATAAAGCGACTCCCAAAAGGGCAGCCCCCAAAGCCTGGGATATTCTCTTGTTCAGCCCACCGGGGAAGGAGGCAGCAGGTCCTGTGATGGCAGTGTCTGAGGGACACGGCACGCAGAGCTGACCTGCACGGAAATTCTCAAGATTCTCATGAAATCCTGTTGCGTACAGAATATCTCCAAAGACTGACTGTGCTCTGAAAGGACTACAGGCTGGCTGGCTGGCAGAGTTGTCCCATAAAATCCAGGTTTGGTTTCTATAAACATATAACAGGTAGTCAGGCCACTTGAGCTGCAGAATCCTCCCAGGGAGGCCTGGGCTGGCCTTGCATCCCACACCCCCTTCAGGCAGCGCCGTGACTTGTATGAGAGCGACGCCCAGCGGACATTGGTGGTATCGCCGCCCCTAACCTCTCTGGGCCTCAGTTCACTCAACTGCAAAATAGGACAAACACTAATCTCAAAAATGGCCAGAACCACTCTCAGGTCCCAGGCCTCGCTCGCTTCCTGGGCTGGGAGTGTCCGACTGGCGTGTGTTTGAGTAACGGTCCCAGCACGTGAAACTGAGTGAGCATTGTCCTCCTCAAGACCCTTTCTGAGGGACACTAGTGTGGGCATCTTCTAACACTGCTGCCCCTCCATGGACTGTGTTGGGAGTGCTCCCTTTGGGCCTGTCTTTATGGCTTTTCATTGCTTCTAGAGTCTTACCTGTGGGGCAACTCTGACCCCTGAGAACAGTCGGCCCTTGTTGAAGCTCTGTTTTAGTTCCCTTCAGTCCAGCTTTGCTCCAAGACCTGCTTTACGTGTCCCATAATGTTGTTTTGATTGGCGTTATTGTTTGTGGTTTTTTACTTGAATTGAATCCTAAAATTACAAATTAGGAAACCCAGCATTTCTGAAAAAGTCAGAAGACACTTCTTCTGAGTTCTCAGTAGCAGTGGCTGAAGCTGAGGAGCTGCTGCACCCTTTGGACTGGCAGAGATTTCCCAGTTTGCCACAGTCCCCACCACTCTCTATTGTCTCCTATTGCCTGCCTGCCCTGCTGTCAATTATATTGTCTCCCTGGTCCCTATAGAAGCTTCACAGTTATATCGCACACGCAGAATAATTGCCATAATAATAGTTGCTGGCACAGGAGTAGACTACGTTAAGCATGGTACATTCCTTCTATCATTTAACCCAGTGAAATAGGCATCGTTACTCCCAGCTCACAGATGGGGTTCACCATCCCTAAGTAAGTTGCCTGTGATAAGGGAGCCAACACCTATGCCGTGCAGTTAGCCGCTGTGGTCAGGCAGGCAGGCAGGCAGGCAGACCTAGATTTAATTCCAGGAGATGGTGGAAAGCCAGGATACATTGACATAAACTATCTTTATGAGCCACAAGGTTGAAATGAATTTCAGTTATAAGCACATGCATTTTACCTTGTCAGGTAATGGCTTCCTCCCACTGGTTTAGGGGCTGTGACTGCCTCAGTAAAGTTCCCACCCAACCACAAGGTTTCCTCTTTTTCTACCCATCATGAATTCAAGAATGGCTAGCCCTGCCCCCAATTACAAAGGAGGCTAAGTATCGCTGGTGTTACAGACACTAAAATAGTTTCTCCTCCTTCTTCAGGACACCTATCTTGACCCCCTTCCGATGCCATGTGCCCAGTGCCCTGAGCTCCCCCAAAGGGACCCAGGGATCCCGCTGTGACACAGTGTCCAGGCCTGGACTCTGAGACATCACCTCACCTTCCAGATTTTTCCAACTCCTTTGTCCATCAGAATGACCCCCATCAAAACATCCTCTGCTGTGTCCCAAATTTTCAAGCTCTTGCTAAATGACCACTTAATTTGATAAACCAATGTGCAGGGAAGGTGCTGATGGAATCATTCTTTAAACAACTACTTACTGAGTGTCCATCCCTCCTTTTAAAGCCATTCCAGGGCTTCCCCTTGGTCTTGGGAGACTGAAGACAAATCCTTAGCAAGGCCTACTAGGCCCTGCTTCTTTTGACCCCTTGATTCTGGCTGGAAGGCAACCGCCTTGCCATCCCCCTGGGACAGGGTATTTCCCAGCGGCCTGTGTGGGGAACACAGGCTTTTCTCTTTGCCACTGCAGCTCCTGCAAGCGACAGCACTTCTATGGCGCCTCCAGGCTTTACAGTGCCTTCACTGACCCTCTGTGAAGTGGGTGGGGAGTGTCAGCCTTTGGTCCTAAGGGGGTCTTATCACCCAGAGGCTGAGGGAGGGCCCAGTGTCCAAGCACTGGGAGCTCAGCGGTAACAACTGCTCATTCTTTTTGGGGGCTGAGGCAACCAGTTCCTTAAGTGTACTTCCTGAAACTTGCTGACATGCTTCTCACCATGTGCGATGCATCACCAAGGGGATGAGTCACTCCTTCCGCTGGGCACTGCCATCTGGGGTGCATGCTATTGCACCTCCCAGCCTCAGGACCAGCTCCAGCTCAGGGCCCCCAACAGTCTTACAGGAGTGAAACTTCTCGCCAACGGCCCCTCTGACCACACCAGTTCTCAGAAATCCCCCAACCCAGGCTTTAGCTTTTTTGACTTCTGCCCACTTGCTTTGTCAGCCTCTCTCAGGCTCTGCTGGGAGCCCCGGTCTAGGCTCAGGCTCCTTGGTGCCAGCTTTGTCCACGCAGTTTGCTCCTGGGGGGGGGTGTGTGCGCATCCCCTGAGCACTTCTCTTTACTGGGTTTTTTCGCCACATACCAACTTGAGCACCACAGGGCTGCATCATTTCTATCTCCTCAAGGACCCTGGTTTCGTATCTTTCTTCCTTCGTGGTGCATGGTAGCAACATGTCCATGGAACGTTTTCCAGTCTCATCCAACGGGACAGGGAATGGAAGCTGATGGACAACAGTAACCAAAGCCATATATACATATATTTTTTTAAAGAATGAAAATTTGCCAAGAACACAAATTTGGTAATTCGCAGAAGAGCAAGCCCAGATCACCAAGAAGCATGAAAAGATTTCAGGCCCCAGTAATCAGGGAAATGTAAGCGACGTAATCATGAGATGCTTCTTTGCTTCTTTCAGAGTAACTAAAATTTTGAAAGACTGGTAATACCTCTTGCTGGTAGGAATGCAGGAAAGTCAATAACTGTTCTTGGACAGCACCCTCTTCTGGAAAGCAATCTGGCAACATGCACAAAAGTTAAAATTAAAAATACATGTGCCTCGCCCGGCCGGGTGTGGCTCAGCGGTTGAGCGTCGACCTAGGATCCAGGCGATCGGGGTTCGAGTCCCGGTCAGGGCACATGCCCAGGTTGTGGGTTCGATCCCCTGGCTGCGGGGGCGTGCAGGAGGCAGCCGATCAATGACTCTCATCATCGATGTTTCTCTCTCTCTCTCCCTCTCCCTTCCTCTCTCTGAAATCAATATATATTAAAAAAAAAAAAAAAAAAATGTGCCTTCTGACCCAGCAGTTCCACTCCTAGGAACCTACCCCACAGATATAAAAATACCTGGAAAATACCAGAATACACAAGGGTGTACAATGAATTCCTGCCTATGGTGGAAAAACAAAACCTAGAAAGCAAGCAAATGTCCTTCCGAAGGGGAGTGGCTGCATCTACCGCGACAGGCCAAGGAAGTCCATTAAGGAGTAACTGGAGCGATACCAGGCGATTCACAGGCATCACCGTGAATAACTGGCCAGGGAAAGCAAGGGGAGGAAACGGCATAAAATTACCCCATTTTAAAATAGAAGCAATACCACCCTGCCCCACCCCACCCCCAGCTGCGCATGGGCGCCCGCACACGTGAGCGTGGAGGCGCCACGGCGGGATCCAGGCCCGGCTGTCAGCAGGTGCTGGGGACACGGACAGTCATGCGGGGGGGGCAGGCGATGGGAGGAAGGGGGGGCTCAATCAGAAGGAAAGAAAGGACTGCGCTGAAACTGACACGATGCCTGTGTGTGAGTGGATGTGCGAAGAAAATTCTAATTACAGATAACATCTTAAACATGTTTGTTAACCTAGAACATACCAGGGTTCATTCCTTCACCAACAGTTTGAGAGCCAAGGTCCTTTCATTGAGAGCAAGACTATTTTGGGGGAGAGGTGGAGGTGGTAAAGGGGGACAAATGGTGACGGAGGAGACCTGACTTGGGGCGGTGAACACACACACAATGTACAGGTGTGTTAGGGAATCGCACGCCTGGAGCCTCTATTTTATTAACCAGCGTCTCTCCATAAAGCTTCAGCCCCTTTCGGCCGCGCTCCCTCCTGACCGCATTCCAGGCCCCGCCGCGGGTCCTGGGGTTTCTGCCATGGCTGCCAGGGGGCAGTGGGGCCGCCCACTTCCTTCTCTTGCACTTACAAGCGAGCACGTGGTTTTTGAGAGTTCTCTGCTGTTCACCGGTCAGCGTGACAGCGAACACAATACGCTACGTGGGTCAAAGATCTTCAGGGCAGGACCCTCCCTGTCCCGCCCAGGTCCCACACCTGCATTCGGATGGGGCGGTGGGGACGTGGTCTCTGCGAGGGAAACGGACGGCCCGTGACCTCGCCTCCCAGCAGCGGGGAGCTCATTTCCTCCGCTGCACTACCGAGCCTGCAAGGAATTATTTTTCCTCTGAAACAAGAGACGTGGAGTATAGATTTCAGCGTTTGCCTTTACCTCCTGAGGGACGTGACCTTTTTTTTTTTTTTTAACTTACAGGAAAAGAAGAGCGAAGCCACCTAGTTGTTTCTGTACATATGTATACTTATTTACAAAAGCCACCTTCCCGGTGCACAGCATACGAGGACTAGGTCCTCATGAAATACAGGGCCCAAGGTAAAAAATGTTTGTCCCTGTTTCTTCTTAAAAAAATAAACACCTTGTGATGAAATATTCGAGGTAACTTCATGTCTTCCCAAAGATGCCGTAATAGCTTTCAAGCTATTTTAAATTAGTGACTAAGGATTTCATTCCATCAAGTGGAGCTGTAAGAGAAAATGTCCCATGTCAGTAACTGGTAAGATGCAGTCAACCTGCGTTGCAGACCAAGAGTTGTGATTACCCTCCTATTCCAATTCGAGTGGGCCTTTTGTAATAAATCCATCCACAGCAAGGGCCCTGGGGAGCGGAAGTGAGCGAGCCTGGTCTTGAGGCCTCACGGCAGCGGGAGCTCCACCAGCGCTAACGACAGGCCCGTCTCCCCAAACCGACTCATCGCGGAGTGTGACAGGTTTCCAACTCACAGAGCAGAGGCCCTAAGGCCCACATGTAAACGTTTACTTCCTCCTGTGCTACATGACTCTCCCGGCAATGGTTTCCTTCCCACCTCAACTTCTCTTTCAGTCACCCCTGCGGTGATGACAATAGTCCTGGGCTCTCGGAGGAAACAGGCGCACCCAGTGACGGCATGGCCTGAACACGCCCGTTCACGCAGAACCCGCCCCTCAGCCTCCTGTCTTCTCCACAGACCGGAGCAGATCAGACAGGCCCAGCCCGGCCCAGAGTTCCCAAAATACGTGAACTCCACAACCAGCCTTCATAAAAAACTGCTGTGGGAAAAAAACCCGGAGCTTTCCTTATCCAGGACCTCACAGAAAGTGACAATGGGGGCTGAGAATTTCTGAGGGATAAAGCGAGTTCTGGCCAGCGCAGGATGTTGGCCTCTTTTCTGAAGAATACTAGTAACCATAGTCGCTAACATTTATTGAGCAATATTATCAGCCAGTCACTACTCTAAGCGTTTTACTTATATTAGCTTGCTTCTACCCGTTATAGATTTCTATGCTATTATTATGTGTACTATCATTGTTATTTCTGTACCACTGTTGTGCCCATTTTCCATGGAAGACAACTGAGGCACCAAGAGTGTAAGGGACTCGTCCGAGGCCTGGGAGAGATACAACTGGCGTTTAAACCCAGGGGCTTTGGTACCAGAGCTGCACTCTTGGTTCAACTCTTGTTCATATGACCTCCACACTTTCTGGCAAACCTGGCCCTCCATATTCATGTCTGCCGCGACCCCCCAATTCAGGCCCTCTCTGCTTGGCTGGGTCACTCCATTTACCCACTCCCCAGGGTCCTCATCTCCGGCCACTTGCCTATTAGTTCACCCTCCGCTTTGCTAGCAGAGCCACCTTTCTAAAGCAAAGCTCTGCTCAGGTATCCTCTGGGTGCCTAGCAAGTGATACTGACACCCTGTGCCAGGGTCACTGAGAGGGTTCAACGGAGAGATACGGAGAGTGCCTGGCACGCGGCTGCTGCTTAGTGAACTGTGGTTAGTGTATCTGTTGATGTCACTCGTTACTGTTCAAGGCCCTGGCAGACACGTAGCATCTGGCTCCCCAAGTGCTAGGCACCCGGCATCGAGGCTGCTCTGGTCTGACACACGATTCAGTTTACCCAGTGCCCAGTCTACAGGCTACTTACCTGGCTCTTCCTCTTTTACTGGCAAATATTATAAGACCTACAAACGAAGAAATTTTCATCTCATTAAAAACTGGATAGAAGCTGAAATCTCAAGTTACTAACTGCCTTGTTAGAGACCTGAAGCTAGAAAACTCCAAAACTGGAGCCCTGACAAGCTGGCATTCCTCTCTCCTAAATGCTTAAATGAAAATGGCTACAGAGTGGGTCCAAAGAGCTGTTCAGAAATTCAGTCGCCAGTTCTCCAGGGCATATGGGTTGCTTTCTAGGTTGGCCCAACACCTCTGGCAGACTAAGGTAGGCTCGGGAAGGCAACAAGGACAGTACCAGATAATTATTACTCACTCTGAGTGGCTCAGCTCAACAAAAGTTCCTTCCTTCCTGGGACCTCCTCCTAGACTCTAAGACATGGACATACGGCCAGAGCAGCCAAGAGTAAAATCTGGCTTGGAGAGCAGAAGTATAACTATACGTTGACGTGGGCCACAGGCAGGAAGAGGCTGGGGATGAGGTCCCAGGACTATTCAGCTGTGTCCCTGCCTGTAAACTCGCCGTGGCCCGAGGATTCGTTCCACCTTAAAAACAAGGCACAATCTTTGGAGGAAGCTGGCACACCCGGCAACCCAGACAACAAGTAAAACACAGAAGTTTCCGTTTCTTTCAAAATGCCTAAAATTTCAAACTTTCTTTTCATTTTCAAACTAATTCATTTTCTAGCCTTTGAAAAACCAATTCAAGCTTGAAAACGTATTACATTTTTTTAAGAAAAGTATATACATACCTGTTACAATGCACACGACTGGTGCAGCTAGAATTACATATCTAGTCCGTGAATTATCTGTGAAAAGAAAAAAGAAATACAATTAGCTGAACTGATCAAAAACAGAGATACAGAGATGACGTCTTCTGTAAATCCCTGGTTATAAGACTTCTGTTCAGCTAGTCTTCAATTGGTTATTGCGGCTGACGGTTCTATCATTTAGTTGTAATTCCAGTTCGGACCAGGGAGGAGGCGAGTGTAACTCCCACCTACTCTCCGCCTTCTTCCCCCACACCCTGTCGTCTGTGGGGGACACAGGGCAGTCAGAACGCAGGCAGCCACCAGCGAGTCGACTGGGGAGGCCCCTGGCCAGGCTCGGCCGGCTGCCCGCCACACCCGTTCTCCCGTCTTTTGTAACAGAACTCAGATTTTCAGCTGGGCCACTGACACTCGGACTAAGAGATTAAATTCCCGGCCTTTCCGGCAGCTGGCCTTGACTGCGGGACTGGCTGGGGCAGCAGGTGCAGGAAGGGCCGGGTGGACTTCCCGTCTCCCGTCTGAGCCCCGCGCCCGAGGCGCCTGGGGAGACAGCAGGAGCTCCGCTGCTCTGGGGTCCCTGACAACTTCATAAAGCAACACCATGCCCAGAGCTGCCTATCTCCGGTTTGGTTTTGGTTTTTTAAATATATCTTTATTGATTTCAGAGAAAGGAAGGGAGAGGGAGACAGAGAGACAGAAACGTCAATGATGAGAGAGACGCTGACCGGCGGCCTCCCGCGCCCACCACTGAGGACCGAGCCTGTAACCGGGAATCTAACTTCCATCTCCTGGGTCCTAGATCAACGCCCAACTGCTGAGCCACACCCGGCCAGGCTATCTCTGTTTTTTCAACATGAAAGAAGAAATCTATATTTTTAAGCTGCAGATACATTTTTATTTTAAACAGCTGAAGCTAATGCTAACTGATACAGTCCCTTTCAGACACCTCTCCCCCTGGGAAGATGCCAGATGCTGTCAGCACTTTGGAACAGCAGAGATTCAGGGGCGGTCACAATACAAGTTTTTTTCTTTAATCTTCACCCAAGGATATTTTTTCCACTGCTTTTCAGAGAGAATAGAAGGTCAGGGGAGGCAGGGAGGGGGAGGGAGACAGAGAGACAAAGAGAGACAGGGACACACCGATTATTGCCTCCTGCATGAGACCAACCGGGGCCGGGATCGAGCCTGCAACCCGGGCATGTGCCCTGACCAGGAATGGAACTGGGATCTCCTGGATCAGAGGTCGATGCTCAAAGGCTGAGCCACGCTGGTTGGGCATATTTTGTGTATGTTTTAAAATGATACAGGTTACATTCATTTGGCTGCACATTATGGTAGAAGCATCTACTGTTACCCACTACCCAATCTCTCCTTTTTCAGCATGAGAGTTACTGTTTTAATTGGGCACGTGGCCAGCCTGCTGACAACGACATTTCTCAGACTGCCTCAGCTAGGTGTAGCCCGAACTCAGGGTGCTCAAGGGGGTGTGAACAGAAACGACGCAAACCACACTGGGTTGATCTTTAAAGGGAACATGCACTGCCCCTCTCTCCCCCCTCCCACTTGTTATGAAGCAAGGAGAGATGGGGGCCTTGTCTGCTCGGCTCCAGAGAGCACTATTTTTAAGCCATAAATGCTATTTCAGTCTATATTTCCAAAAGATAGGGATTATTTGTAAAACATAACCATGCCATTATGATGCCTAAAAAACTAATTTTTAATATACTCAAATATTCAGTGTTTAAATATCTATTTTTTTAATCAAGAGCAAATAAAGTCGATATATTGCAATGTATATGTTTCTTAAATCTCTTTAACCTCTGTTTCCCTATCACCTGTCTTTTCCTCCCTTTACAATTTATTGATTGAAGAAACTTGGATCCCAGTCCTGCAGAACTCCCCGTAATCTGCACTATTGTTTCATAGGGTGTGGTTTTCACTAGCCGATTCCCGTGAATCAGTACAAATTCTTCTTCATTTGATTTATATTGAGACATACAGAGAAGCAGGATGGTGTCATGGGAAAACACTCTGGAATTTGAAGACCTACATTTTAATCCTGTCTCCATTACTTAAGTGACCTTGGCCAAGTCACCCGACCTGTTGAACCTGTCTCCTCACTCTTAAAAAGTACATAACAACTCATGTGTGGGAGGCAACCAATCGATGTCTCTCTCTCATACGGATGTTTCCTCTCTCTG